CTTTGCTTCAAGAACTACCATTTTGTGGAACAGACTGCAGTGTGTCTACTTTCCTGAATACTTCCATCCTGACCGCTTCAAATCATAGGTTAATCATTCTCTTTCATACTTATGATCAGAATGTTAATTTACTACTGACTTCTCTCTTATTCATATCGCACACTTCATTCATTATTAACATTTTGACTCTAACGCTCTACCATGAGTGGCTCTCGAGCCTTGTATTTAGTGAAATTATATATATATATAAATTATACATAGTTAAAAAATAGTGAGACATGATTTTTTTATTAGAAATTTTATTATGACAATAAAAAAAACCTTTAAATTTTGGACTCGTCAAAATATCCTCCATTACCCTTGATTATTGCAGCAGAATTTTGGGGCATTTGTTGCAAAAGTTTCTCGAATGCCGAAGTGGTTAAGCACCTTTATATCCAATGATCTGCTCTCCGTCAAGAAATATGGTTTCCGCTTTGCCCGTTCTACAGCTGATGTGCTTCCGGCCATCACTGAAATTGTTTATCAAGCCCTTCATAATAACGGAGAAGCTCGTGCCGTGACTCTAAATATCTCTAAAACGTTTGATAGGGTTTGGCATGCTTGACTTAATACAACCATTCCTCTCAAACCATGTATTGAAGGTCGTTCTCAATGGATTCTCCTCCAGCTCCAATCCCACGAACGCAGGTGTTCCCCAAGGCTCCATCCTAGGCCCTACTCTGTTTCTTATCTTCATTAACGATCTTCCTGACGTCATACATTCCCAAGTAGGCATCTACGTAGACAATACTACAGTTTACTTCTGCCTCAAAAACAAATCTAATGTCGTTGACAAAACTAACCTGGTCGTTCGTCTCGAAAAGAACCTCCAATCGGTTGTGGACTGGGGCAGAAATTGGCTGGTTAACTTTAACACCTCAAAAACAAAACTGCTCTCTATTACTCATCACAGAGAACCATCCCTGCCCCTCATTAGAATGACTGACGCTCAACTTCTCGAGAGCAACTCTCTGCGGCTGCTCGGTCTCACGTTCACGGCTGACCTGAGATGGAACAAATACATTGAGTCAATAGTTTCGTCCACCGCAAGGAAAGTTGGCTCCCTGTGCCGCGCCAGGAAATTTTTCTCCTCGAAATCGATCCTCCAGATCTACAAATCAACAATTCGCCCCTGCATGGAGTATTGCTGCCATATATGGTCTGGAGCCCCTTCTGTTTGCCTAGGGGTTCTTAATAGGCTCCAGGAACGGATATGCAATGTAATTGGCCCTGATCTGGCATCTTGTCTGCAGTCGCTCTCTCACAACCGTGCCGTCGCCTCCCTCTGTCTTTTTTACAAATACTTTCATGATAACTGCTCCGAGGAGCTGCTTTCGCTGGTTCCCAGACTTCATGAATTTAAGCGCTCAACTAGGCTGGCATCTCGCTCTCACCCTTTCATTGTCGAAACTGTTAAATGTAGCCGTCTCTTCTACTCCAATAGCTTTATGTCTCGAACCTCTCGCCTGTGGAACTCCTTCCCCTTTTCCTGTTTCCCTGATAGCTATAATCTCTAACTATTCAAATGTAATGTCTATCGACGTCTCCAGTTGCCTTGATCTATCTTCTCTTTATCCTTTCCTCTATCACTCCTATTTGCTCTCGCTCCAACTCTCTGTAACCCCTTGTGTGCTGGTGGCTTCCCGCCTTGCTTGGGGTGAAACGCTTAAAAAAAATGTATATCAAAAGTATATCGAAGGTTTCATAATTGATTCCATTCTAAGATCTCTTTTTCATTTTTTTCCCACTCTTCTGTTAAGTTCATCCCATGCTAATTCTGGGGGTGGCTTCAAAGTTTTGAACTGTGTTATATATATATATATATATATATATATATATATATATATATATATATATATATATATATATATATATATATACTGAATTTTAAGCAATTAATGGACAGTTGTTAATCCAAAATTAGTTCTTATTATTGTAAATGTTATGTTTCATACTGAATTCTCGTGATTTTGCTTTCTGAAAACAAGTGCGTAAATTTTATTAAAGAAAAAGACAGCGTACTTTGTTTTTCTTTAATGAAATTTCTCGAACATTCAGACCAGTAGACAAAAATAAATAAATATACTTTTTAATAAGTAAACGTAGCATCTACGCAAATACGAGACGTCTTGAAGATGGCGTTTAAGAATGAAACAGACTGGCTGACTTTCGCGTCTGCTTTTATATTTACATACATTTTATACTAGATATTGTTCACCTTTCCCCATAAATATAGCATACCTTAAAACTATATTTTTATCCCATACACACACATATATATATATATATATATATATATATATATATATATATATAAGGAAAATTGTTTTCCATAAGAAAGGTCACTACTATTGCGATCTGTCCTTATATATCGTTATAAACCTGTTGGAGTAAAAGAAACTTATCCAAAGTTCATTACTTATTAGACAGGAAAAATAAATATATTTATACTATAATCAATCTTATCACGATTCTAATGATTACATATAAAGTTTTAAAATGAATCACTTCGTTCATCTTCTGTGTGCCGTTGCCATTCAGGACGTTGGCGATTATGACTCTCTTCGACTTCTCATCCTTGTAACTCATAGAAATATTTGTATTTTCACCTTCCCTCCCTCTCCCCATTCTCCCACCAATTCACACAATTCTTCAGGTAGGGGACTCGTTGCCTCCCCCATGTTAGAAGAAATTCTTATCTATTTAACATGTTCCTTCAGGGCATAGGAGATAATGGCTTTCCACGACTTCCTCTCCCCTGTAGCTCTTAATAAACTTCCTGTTATTTCTCCTAGGCCATGTTCCGCCATCCATTTACCCAATCTCATAAGTATGTTATGCGTTGTCTTTCTTTCTCCCTCTTGTCTTCATTGCGTCCCGTGAGTGCCAAATTTTCCAACCCCTTCTTCCTCATTATATGCACTAGAAATACTAAAAGCATTTATAGATGTCCATTGGAAACCATTTTAGTATAGGAATACAATACAATTATGTATTAAATACTGCAAAACTTTCATTCACTTAAATGATTACATCTATAGTGACACAAATACTAAATCATATATAGAAATTCATTGGAAACGATTTTACTATAGTAATGCAATATAAATTTTACTATAGTAATGAATTCATAAATTCTAATGATTACATATATAGTCACACATCAAATACTAAAAGTATAGTGACAATTTCAGCTCGGTTTAAACTGTGGATTCCGATTTGACGTAAATATGAATCTTGGTTCTTACAATTTCTAACTAATACAAACATTTGTAAGGAACGCTAATTTTCCATTCAAATATAAATGTCACTAAGTTCAAAATAAACCTGAATTAAAACCTGCCCCCTTCCTTCAGTGGTATTTCATCCGATAAAAATATGTATAACATATGGTTAACAAGCTAATCTGATTGACTTTTCTCGTGACCTTGTGAAAAACTAATAAACTCTGCATTGGGTAATGGTTAATGAGCTGGTTGTCTAGACTTGCGACCTTGTGAAAAAAAGTATGCTAAGCTTAATAAACATCAATGGAACAACACGTATTAACCATTTTTATGGCCTCGTGACAAAATGTGCTAAGCTTAGGAAATTATAAAAAACACCTTGATATGTTGTCATGGTCAGAAAACTGAGTTTGTTCCCCACTAGGTGCCCCATGCTTGTAGCCTTGTACGAAACTAAACTAAGTTTAGAAGACGCCTCATTGTGTTTTCTATTTTTCTAAACAAATTGTGGTTTATTATTAGTAACTTCCATCCTCACTGGGTACCTAAATTATGTAGTCTTGTGCCAAAACTAAACTCCGTTTAGTAAATGACATCGAGACGACACGGTTAACGCGTTTGTTTGCTTAATTATTGTGTAATGGTTTGAGTTCGATCCTCGAAGAATGCTCTGTATATCTTTCTCTAGGAATGGGGAAAGTGTCGATATTTGTGAAGATGATGAACTGGAACTGCACATATCTTTCAAATAAAAAATGTTCTTCTTGGTAACCATTGTTGAAGTCTAAGAATTTGACAAGCAAAAGCTTAAATATCTAGAAAGTGTTTTAACAAGGAACAGGAAATACAACACCAAAATCCGAACGCTTATTGGGATAGTGATGATGCCTTCGAAAAGCTAAGCAAAATATTAGGAACAGAAAAATGCAAACAAAAGACTACTAAACTTTATGATATATAGATCCTGCTATATGACAGTGAGCGCTAGACAATCCCTAAGAGGTAATAAAAATATGGTTCTACAGAAGGATATTGAGAATATATGGACTGTACATGTAATCAATGTTGAAGTTTTAGAGAAAAAATGAAAACAAAAACGCCACTTATAATGATACTTATAGGACATATTGAAGGCAAGAGAGATAGAGGAAAGTGCCACATAACCCCAGCCTAACGAGATGTGTGAATGGTTAGCAGAACAGGGTTTAGGAGTGATAACCAAAAGACAAAACTTACAAGAGCTACAAAGGAAGTTGTGGAGAGTCATGATTGCACACGTCTTGAAGGGACACGGCACATAGAAGAAAAAGAAAGTGGGTGGTTGGGCAGAACCGCACCCTACCTGGTGGTTACTTAGAAGAGTGCAAACAAAACTGTGGTAGACATAATGAATTCTACATACGCATATACAGCGTAACGGACCGGCAGATTCTCCGGGGAGTTTTTTTTTTTTATTACGACTTTTGCCCTCGATAGGAAAAAATACGATTAGGTTTCTGCTGCAAGGGATTATCGGTGAAAAAGTGCAGAATTTTTTTTTTCTCAAAGTGCGTAGGATTTTAGGGCCTTGGTTTCCACTTTAAAATCAACTCTAAAATAAACGAAAAGAAAACATCTTCAAATGCGGTCCCTAGTAATATATCACTGCTGGTTTTTATATTTCGAGATCAAGCCGTTCATGTTACTTTTTGATCTGATTTTTGTTACAATCGTCCATTACTACGAAAGGCGATGCCGAAGACAGGGTTCTACGTTTACGAGGTGACAGCATCTTTCGTTTCAGGTCCGTAATCTTATCATTTACCGTGAAGATGGCACTGACATGAAATGGTCGGTTCGCGAAGGACCACTACAGAGTGGGCAGCGGTAAAGAACCACGGGGGTTTTTTAAGGTAAAAAAAGGCTACATGAAAATTAGTAAAGCCAAAACAAAACAAAACAAAAAAACAACTTTGAGTCGATGACCAGATGTTGCTGATAAGAGATTTCTGAAATTTCACTTTCTTGTGGCATTTTTGTTCGTCTTTTGGGTTTTATGTGATCGTTTTATTTATTTATTTATTGTTTGTTTGCTTGTTTACTTAAACTTATTTATTTACTAGCAGGACTACCCGGAATAGCCCGGGATCATATCTTAAGAAATGAAATTCACAAACAAGACTAGTGAACTGCTATCTAATAGCAAACCTTTATGGCAGTGGATGCTGGAATATTTCCTCACATCGGAAGAGACTGGAAGTAAAAACATCTGATTCTATAGAAGAATGCTGAGAATACTATATACCGATATCCAAAAACACATTGAAATGACAAAAGTTGTCTTCCAAAAGCTCAGTAAAGTATTAAGAAACAAAAAAATTTCGTTAGAAACAAAGAAAAGAGTATTGAACTGTTATGTGATATGAATCCTCCTATATTGCAGTGGATGTAGAACAATCTCCTCACAGATGAAAAAGAAACTTGAGGCAACAGAAATGTGGTTCTACAGAAGGATACTGAGAATAGTATGAACATGTGAGTAACAAGGAATTTTAAAGAGAAATAATATTATTTAACTATAAAGAGACAGTTGCAATTTCTAGGATACATAAAAAGGGAAAAGGGCTTGGAGATTTTGACACTCACAAGGCCAACGAAGGTAGAGGATTACTGTTGAAATCGTTATGAGGAATGAGTTGCGTGATATGAATGAAAGAGGGAGAAGCAACTAGTGGAGACTATGAGGATAAGGAGGATAGATAACGATTCACTTTCGACCTGAAGAGAATAAGACTTTACAGTCACTCCACATGCTGCAAGTTTAAAACATTTTTAGAATGACAATTTTCTCAAGGAAATAACGAGGAGAACAAACTGAAAAATATTTTTGTCTAATAAATTAAACTATTTATCCCGACGAAATTAGAGCCTTAAAGCAATAAATTCAAAACTAGCATCATAAAGGGAAGGTTTTGATTACTTATATATTAAAGATCCCCCAATACAAGGCCCGTGAGCCTCTCATGGTAGAGGGTTACAGTTAACATGGTTATGAGAGAGTTCAATAGATAACGAGTGATCTTTGATTTGAAGATGCGTTCAGGGAAGTATCCACGCGGCAGTCTGTACCATAAAGTAGGAGTTCTTGGGAAAAAGCTATTTTAGTGGAACTTCCTCCTTACAAATGGAATACGGGAGTGGGGAGTGAGGGTGATTCGAATCTGTGGAAATGGGATGGCATGTCCTGGTGGTAAAGTTTTAAACCGGTGGAACAAAAAAATGGAGCTCATCTGATTAATGGAGATGGAATGGTCAATAGCGTAGCGATAGGCTTGAAATAGTGCGTCTGTGGGGAGAGACGGGGCGGGGTGGAGAATAATTTATCATCCAAAACACTGAAATCTATCACGGCTGAAAATTAAGCATTGTGCAGCTTCAGCACAGATATGGCAGCAATACCCCAATGTTTAATCTGATATGACGAGTCAAGTACTTTCTAATGTGGCCCAAGGGACCAATCATTTTTTCATCGTTTTGACGGAGTTAAAATAAAATGAGAGCTTAGGCTTACTAATATTGTCATAACCACTTTTGTATGCTAAGTTTAATTCAATACCACGTTCGAATTTTTCTATTTTAGCATAGATTTTGCTAATATATGTATATGTGTATGTGTATATATATATATATATATATATATATATATATATATATATATATATACTAATAAAATAAATAAATAGTTTCATTCACATGGTAATCGTCAGGCACAAACTGAAAACTGGCCACTGTTAAATTGTAATAATAATATTAATAACCTACTTCTGACATTTTCTTTTTGTAATATTCAATACTTACTTTCACACACACACACACACACACACACACACACACATATATATATATATATGCGTAGATTTACATTTTAGTAAGATTCGATAGCGGCACACTCAAGAACTTTCCACCAATATTACGTTCTCTTTTAGTAAGTGTAGAAAGAGAAAGTCACTTACTCAGAGGGAAAGTTATATATATATATATTCAAACATGTTTCATTGAATAATATAGGCATATTATGTCTATTTATTTTGTAGGAGCAACGCGTTGAAATTCATATAACAAACATCCAATGCCATTTTGCATTTCTACCAATTTCCGGTCACCTCCCCTTATATTGGGACGCTTCTTTTGCAAAATATCTTATAGCTACAACGGATAAATTTAACATTTAAAAATAATTATTACACAGCACGTTCACGCGTGTTTTAAGAAATCACCATCACAACGGAAATCAGATTTTATCACAGTTACACTCAGTTTGTCTTTGTAATTATCCCCAGGAAGATGATGTTGGTGGAGATTGAAAGTAATTGTGTAGGAAAAACATGTTTGGATGAAGATATCATGCCTAAATATACAGACATACACACTTTGAAATTCATTTGTATCATTTGGAGAAAAAGCTATCTTGCAAATGGCAAGTCTGTATTTAAATACATCTTAATTTTTCACCCTTTTTTTTCTTTGACTAATTTTTTTCTTTCCTTCGTTCATTCTTTCGAAATTGTCCTTCTATTTCGAAATTTGTTACTTTCTCCTTCATCAAATTTTCTTCAGATTCCTTCAATGCATTCTTTCTTTTCATTTTTATTGCTTTTTATATTTCTCTCCTTCTCTACTTACTTTTTCTTATATTTTGTTCTTTGCTTTTTCACACTTTTTTCTTTTACTCGTTTCTTTTTTTACTTTCTTTTCTTCTTCTTTACTTTGTCTTTTCCCCACTTTTAAAGCTTTCATTACACTTTACTTTTTTTACTCCTGATTTCCTTCCTCTTATTTATTTTTCTTTTGCCTTCAATTATTTTTATGGTATTGTTTACTCTTTCCTTGTTCTTCTTTATTTTAATATATATATATATATATATATATATATATATATATATATATATATATATATAGTAGATAATCTTTTGTTATGTGCCATGCGTGATACAATATTAGACGATCATGCATCTTTCGATGCATAACTGACGAGGTAGATTTTTTCCCGCACTAGCTTGACTCATTGGCTTTTATTGTGCACTAATTATTTGGTCTGCAATAATAAAAACATTCAGGTCTTTTTGTGGATCAGTTTTAACATTTTATATTACTAGGATCCACTTAGATTATATAACAACGAATTTATTACCTTTACTACATATATATATATATATATATATATATATATATATATATATATGTATTTATATACATATTTTATATATTATCATAATTAATTGTATCATTAGCATCCTTAAATTTGAGCTGAAATATTTTTGAAAAAAATAACTCCCGTGTATAATACGCATTGAATTTCAGAATTTGTACCAGTTAAATTAGGTACCTCCACAGGAGCGCTAAAAAAAGAGCATAACATGATGAAAAAGAGCCAAACTTGACGAAAACACAATTTTATCGTCTAAATGTTTATGTTATTATTAAGAGGAAAGATCAAAGTTTTTGGGGTATTTTTTTACATATTTTAATCGTTCCTAGCACCTCCGAAATTTTCATTAAAAATCTTGTTTTTTTTGAGTCAGCAAAATTGACCATTTTTTTCCATTTTATAAAAAAACTGGAAATATCTCTTTGAAATTCTTTTAAATATCAATTATCATTTTTTGAAAACTTATTTTAAGAAAATCAGAAATTATAATGTTTATTTAAAATATTTTGAACCAAGCTTAACTTAGCTTCTGCGCCGAAAGACTCTAATTTAAAAATAAAACAAAGCAGGTCATAAACTTTCACGTCACTTGACAGGTGATGAATGACATATTGACGGATTCCGTGAGGATAATTTTTCTATGGAAGGAGAAAAGTGAAATAATTTACATTTAAGTGAACAAATTATTTACCTCGTTATTTTTAAAGAAAACTTTCAGCGCTCTAATTTTTTTTGTACTTAGCTTTCACGTTTACGTTTACGGTGCTTTATGGAAAATATATTATTAAGAGATTAAAATAAGACTGTTAAGAGTGAGATTAAATTTCATATTTCATAAGAAAGGTATCTAATTAATTTATAGGTACCTTTCTTATGAAATTTTATCAGAAGTGTACATAAAATACTATAATTTTATGTACATTTACTACATTTTTCTGTGTTATTTGTATTTCCATTCATTTTATTATTAATTTTGATATTTCATTTATGGAAAAATGTCATAACTGAGATTAATATAAAAATAAGATCATATAAATCTCATGATACTGATGCTTGTAGGTACTCTTCTCAGTTGAAATTGAAAAATCAAATTAACTTCTCCACAGGTGTTTAGCAAAAGTAAAGGCCTTAACAGCGGAGAACAATGCTTAACTCAAATAACGCAACTTAATTGTATTCTGGTTGGTCTTCCGTACTTTATAATTACAGCCCGATTATAAACACAAAATTACATTTCTTAATTACTGCGGATCTTCTGATTAGTCAAAATGATACAATTTACAACGCGCTAAAAAAGATCTATCTCATAAGGAGACTTAGGAAACCCGATGCGCCTTTAAGTAATTTTATAATATTTTAACAACTTAAATATAAAAATCTATTATAATTAAGAAATAACAAATAATTGTATCAAAAATTCATTTTTCATCGAAAAAATTTTTGCTTTCAAAAATATTGTCCTTATTCATAAAAACAACTAAAAGCAAATAAAAGCATTTGAAGTTAAATAATATCTTTGTTTTATTGAGTTTTGTATGTTACAATTCAGAGCTGATTTTCAGGTAGGGGGGGGTCCAATTAAAAAAAAAACATGATTTGCATTCCTCAAAGTCTTGTGTTTTTAACTATTGTAATCACTAAACCTGATGCGATCGAATTTCTAGCGTTTTCATAAAATTAGTTAGGGGTGTAATAAATATATAAAAAAATATTTCTGCCATGACTTTAAGAAAAAAAATATTTATAATAATTTGGATCATCTGTGAATAGTTGCTGAAAGTTTCATTAACATCCGATAATTATTTTTTATTTTTGCAAGATTTTCCAAAATAATGTGTCATACCAAAAAAAAAAAAATGTGCTAAAAAATGTCTGTTATTTACTAGTTCCGGTGATACAAAGAGAAACAAGGTTTTTTGAATCAAAATTTATAATATTCAAAAAATAAGGAAAAATGTTAAAAAATAATTAAAAAAAACTTTGGTCTTTCCTCTTAATAATAACATAAGCATTTAGACGATAAAATTTTGTTTTCGGCAAGGTTGGCGTTTTTTTCATCAAGCTATGCTCATTTTTAGCGATTTCGTGGAGGAACCTAAGTTAAATTTAACCTAGCCCTAAATTTTTTTTAACATTTTAACCGATTCAGTTCGATTAAAATAAACAATTTATATACAGGGTGCAGCAAAAGTAACGCCCTTTTTTATTTTATAAACTTTTATTAAACAAAATTAAAGTAGTTTAAGAAAAGTTATAAATATTCTCACATCTGAACATGATATGTTATGATTAACAAACTTTAACAAATTCAAAATGCTTCCCCTTCATGTTCAAAATGCTTCCCTTCAAGATTTTCAAAAAATTGCTTTTTTAAATCCAGGAATTGTTTTCGGTTTGAGTCTGTAAACAAGAACTTTCAGTACATCTGATGTACACTCGATAAGCAAAAGTCTGGTGGTGTTAAATCTGATAATCGTGATGGCCACTCAATTATTCCACGTCTTCTTATCCACCTTAGCTCGAAATTCAAATTTAACCATTCCCGAAAGCGTAAACCATAGTTAAACTTAAGTCATCTTAAACTACTATCATTTATTGTTCAATAAATTTTAATAAATAAAAAAGAACGTTACCTTTAGCACACCTTGCAGTTTACTTTATATTTTCAATCAAAATTGACAAAATATTTACAGCAGCGACACGGACATGTTCACACAAAAATGCAACATACACAATTTTGATTGATTGATTTGTTTTCCAGTTTTATTTATGTGGGTTATTTAAAGCTGAAGCATCATTTTTGGATTGTAAGAATATTTCTTTTGTTTGTGTGGCGGGGGGTGATTATTGAATTTGCAATTTTCTTTTTAGAATAATAATGATTTTTTCCAGATGCAGAAATATTATTTAATTCATATCTTGGAGAAAGAAATGGATTCATACAAACGAATATTTGCTCGTACGCAAATCTTACACGAGAAGGAACTAAATGATCAACAAGCACTCATTCTAGTGGTCAGTGGCTATTTCTCTGTCTCGATGTAAAATGTAAGCCGACAATAGTGACGATGACAGTTGTTTTTGAGGAAGATCGATAAAATGGCTTTGTAGAGTAGATTAATTTTGGCGAAGATATCTACTACACTGAAAACATGAATTAAGATATCTTATCGTTGACCTTTGACACAAAATGCAGTGTAGAAAGACAAAACATGAGTAATATTGACACGAATAATTATTTTTAAAGAATGCAGATTTTAGTGAGGGATTTAACTTTAGAGCATATTTCTTTAATATGAGACTCACCTGACCCTAAAAAAAGTTAATATTTAATTCTCGTGTAAAATAAACATAACTAAACTTTAGGCTTAAAAAATTCTAGGCAAGAGTGCGTATTTTACACTAATAATCACGATATATACTAGTGAGTACCAAGACACGACTCACATTCCAAAATTTGACCAAACAACTGCGTATATTTTTTTTTGGTGGTGGTGGGGAGTGAAAGATTTTTTGGTTAGGTTGTAAAATTTTCAGCAACCTCGTGTATATCTGCCAATGTTTTATTTTACGGGAACTCCGACAAAAAGTAGTAAAGTAAAGTGAGAAGAAAGGACTAAACATCAATTGTATGAAGACAAAATGTATAGTTTCCAGCTTGAGGAAAGCCCAACATTAGAATTACAAATTGGAGAAACCAAAATCAAGCAAGTATAAAATTTTAAATATCTGGGAAATGTTTTAACAGAGGAAAGAAAATGCGACACCAAAATCCAAAATTGCATTGGAATAGCGAAAGATGCCTTCCAAAAGCTAAGCAAAATATCAAGAAACCGGAAATTTTCGTTAGAAAAAAGTACTAAACTGTCATGTAACATTGGCCTTTGTATATGGCAGTGAATGCTGGACAATCTCATCAAAACAGAAGAACAGACTTGAGGTAACAGAAATTAGGTTGTACAGAAGGATACTAAGGATGCCATGGAAGAAAGTTTAGAGAAAATGGAGACAAAATGGACATTTATATTTAACATCAGAAAGAGATAGTTGAAATTTCTAGGCCACATATTGAGGAAGGAGTGTGTTGAAAATTGGACACTCACAGGGACAGGAAAGGGGAACAGAATAAAGCAGTGGGTAGCCTACCTGATGAGCTCATGTAAATTGTTGGAAGATCAGAGATTAGGAGAGAAACTTAACTAAGAACTACAAAAGAAAAGAAATTGTGGTGAGTTATGATCGCGCACATCCTTAAAGGATGTGGCACATAAAAGAAAAAGGGAAATAATTTTACACTAATTTTCAAAGTTTTAATAAAATCTGTCTCTCGAAATTCTCTCTTGGTTTATTTCTCTTAGTTTTTTTTTTCTGGCTAATCGTCTTTGTTTTTCTGAGTTTTTTTTTCTTTCTTTCGCTCTTTTTTTATTTCTAAACTGTTTATCGATTTCGTGATTCCTTACTTATTTTTTCATACAAATTTCTTCTTGTTAGTTTTTTCACGTGATTCTTTTTTACGTTTCTTCCCTGCGTTTTATGTTTCTCACCTTCTCTATTTCTTTTTCTTCTCTTTTTCCCTTTTTCAATCTTTTTTTACTCCTTTTTTTTCTTCGCTTCTTCTTTATTCTGCCTTTCCTTCCTTTTTTGTGCTTTTCTTTACTCCTTTCTTTATATTTGTGACTTTTCTTCTTTTTCTTCATTTCTGTTTCTTTCGTCTTTCATTCTGCTTATGATATTTTTCTTCTTTGCAATTTTATTCCATTTCCTTGGCTTACGGCCACATCACGTTGATCACCGAAGTTAAGCAACGTCGAGTCTGGTCAGTACCTAGATGGGTGATCGAATTCCATTTGGGTTCGTTATATTCACTGACACTCAAATACCCTTGAGAAAGGTATTTATCCAACTTTTCCCCCTAGCTATTAGTAAGACTTGTATCACTAAATCATTATTATATAAAAACATAGATTACGTACAAATTATTTAGATGTCGGCATTAAATAACCCATAGAGGTGTTGATATGCCGTTAAACAAAAACAGCAAACCATCCATATTCTTTTCTTCCTACAATCTTCTTTCTTTTATCATTTTCTGTATTTTTTTTTTACTCATTTCGCCTTCTTTAATCTTTCATTTTTCTTCTTAACCGAATTTCTTATTCTTTCCATTTTCATCTGCTTTAATAATAATAATAATAATAATAATAATAATAATAATAATATTATTATTATTATTATTATTATTATTATTATTCAATTCTTTTTGATTTCTGGTGTGTACACATTTCTTTTCGGGTCCCACCCAGAGACTTAATGTCAGAAATGGCATCATGACATTTTCCACTGAGCAACTAAAAAAAAACATATTTTACATAGACAAAGCCCTTCGTAAGGTGTATGCTGTACTCGTGAAAAATTTTTTTTGTATTTCTTTAAGGCATGGACTTCCAGGAATCCCTTCAATGAGTCTATTGGAATATTTTGCAATCAATCTGAGGGCTTCAACTACAACAGGGATTGTTAATGTTCTCATGTGCCACATTTTTTAGATTTCGATTACAAGGTCCTTGTATTTTGATAGCTTTTTGAAAAAGATATTATTATTATTATTATTATTATTATTATTATTATTATTATTATTATTATTATTCCAGCTTTAATTTTCCTGCGTATTTCTAGATTTTAATTTTTCTCAAATATTTGTAGCTTTCATTTTTCTCGCATTTTTCTCGTTTCCATTTTTCTTCATTTTCTTCTATCTTCCGTATTTCACCCCCCCACCTTCTAGCTTTTCATTTTCTTTCATATTTCTGGTATCTATATTTCCCTATTTGCTTTCACAATTCTTTCGTCGTCTACTTTTCTTTTCTATCGTTCACAAATGCTGTTCCGTCGTCTTTTTCTACTTTCTTGTTTTTCGAAATAGATATGTTCGCTTTGAACCATGTCTTTGTAAAAATTCAAAAAGCGGGTAGAAAAAAAAAATACGGTTACAAAAATAATAACAATGAGAATAAAAAAAATAAGAACATTTAGCACCCTTATATATCTTTGGAATTGTGACACTGAAAGAGTTCACGAAGTAGAAAAATTATGAAATTTAATCAAATGAAACGAAAAGACATTTTATTATTTTAGAAAAATGAAACGAGTGAAAATAATTGGATATGGTAAATGGTAATGATTTGTATCCGCTCATCCTGTAAAAGCGCTTACATGTGAATATACGGTTACCAAAGAGAGAAATAGTAGCTGTAGTTTGTTTAAGGAAGAATACGGTGCGTCAAGGGTTGCGCCAATTGACGGTAGGGGAGGTTGTTTCAATAATTGAAACTCAAGAGATTTGAAGGTGGTTGAGGTGGTGCTGGCAGTGGTTGCCATACTGGTAACTAAAAGACGTTGGCATGATGTTGACGAGTGTTGGGATTTGAGATTTGATGGTGGCGGTGAGATGGTTGACGAATGAAGCGACGGGATGTGTCAGTGGTGGTGGTGGTGGTGGCTGTACGTGATGGAGGCAACTCAAACAAGTATATAAACAAATGATTTCTTCGGCTACCCCTACATGCCCTACTCAACGGCTTGCTTTTTACCGATCTTGGGCAGGAGTGCGTGCTAGGAAAACACCTCAAAGAAAAGAAGGATTCTTAAAAGGATTGGTTTATGAAACACTTGAGGGCTCTGATCTCTCTCTAGGGGGAAAAGTGTAAAAAAGGAGAATAAAAGGAAACAAAACGAAGAGAAAAAAGAAAGAAAGAAATCCAATAAAGTTCTATACAAAAGAGAACGAAAATAAGAAAGAAAGGAATATAGGAATGAAGAAAGGAATGAAGATTGAAGAAAAAAGAAGTAAATATCAAGGGAAAACATTAGAAATTTGAAACGAAATGAAAGATGAATAAAAGAAAGTTCTACACAAAAGAGAATGTATATGTGAAATAAAGAAAGAAAGGATGAATATATGTAAGAAAGGAAAGAAAAAAAAATTAGTGTGTCAGGAAAAGAAAGAAAAAGTAAAAAAAAAAGATATAAAGCAAAGGAAAACATGAGAAACTAGAAAGTAAATTAAAATATGAAATGAAGAGAAAGTCCTAAGGTGAAATAGAATGAAAACAAGAAATAAAGAAGAAAGAAAGAAAGAAAAAAAATTTAAAGAGTGATGTTTAAAAATAACAAATTTGAATGGCAGGAGTATGAATAAGAAAAACAAAGTTGAAAATTGAATGGAAAGAAAGAAAGAAAGAAAGAAAGAAAGAAAGAAAGAAAGAAAGAAAGAAAGAAAGAAAGAAAGATGAATAAATGAATAGAAAGGGATAAAGAGAAATAAATAGAGAAAGAGTGATATTTAAGAAAATTGAATGAAAAGAAAGAAAAAAGAAGGAAATGAAAAAGAAAAAAGAAAGAAAGAAAGAAAGAAAGAAAGGGTGATATTTAAAAATAACAAAGTTGAATGGCAAGAGTAAGAACAAGAAAAAACAAGGTTGAAAATTGAATGGAGAGCAAAAAGGTGAAATAACAAAGTTGAATGAGGAGAGTGACGAGAATGAAAAAAACGAGGAGTAAAAAGAAAGAGAAAAGTGGATCAGTAAAAAGGAAAGACGAAGAAAATAAGAAAGAAGATGAAACTAAATTTCATTCAAGATAGAGAAGAAAAAGCCAATAAAGGAAGAAGGCGTTTTAAGCAAACGAGGAAAGAAAAAAAGAAGAAAGTAGAGGGTAGAGAAGGAGGAGACAACAACAACAACAACTGCATGAAGAAGAAGAAGAATTGTGGAATATGTTTTGTAATACGATATATTCTTAGTTTTATAAATCCATTCTACAGAAAAAAATCCCATAGTAACAAATCCCATAGTAACAAATCCCATAGAAAGAATTATCCTTAATCCGCTATACATTTGATGATATTCTTTAATTCAGATTCACTGTTTTTATAAATCCTCTCTACTTTCAACTTATGGTACATCGATAACAAGTCGGTCTAAAGTGTGGGATAACTATTGAATCATCTCAATCCATAACCCATGACACATTGGTGTGCCCCATACTTTCGCCCTTGTGCTACATCATAACTTTGAAAATCACCATAACATATATCTGACAATTGTCCAGTCCGACCGAATTTTAGTACTATAGCGCTCGGTCTATAGTTTGGGCATCTGTTTAAAGTCTCCGGTCACAATTTTCATTTTTTACTGTCCTTCTTTGTTTATTCTCCATCACTCGATCCTAGATGTTTATGTGTCTAAAACTTCACCTCCTTCATCAGGACCTAGGCGATCATGGCTCTCCAAAATATTTTCTCCTTTCTACCTCTTAATAAATTTTGTTTTTGTGTGATTTTTTCTAAACTTTCTTCCGCCATTCATGTACATAAAGAAAATTATGCGTTGTTTCTTTCTGTCCCACTTGCCTTCAATCTGTCCTGTGAGTATCAGATTTTCCAAGCCCTCTTTCCTCATTATGTGCCCTAGAAATTTTACCAGTCTCTTTCTGATGTTAAGTATAAGTTTCCTTCTTGTTTTCATATTCTCTAAAACGTCGTCGTTGTTCGCATGTTCAGTCCATGTTATCCTCAACATCCTCCTATAGAACCACATTTCTGCAGCCTCAAGCCTCCTTTTCATCCGTGAGGAGATTGACCTGCATTCACTGCCATAAAGTAGGACTGATCTTATGTAACAGTTCAATAGTCTGTTCTTTGTTTCGTACGACATTTTTCTGTCATAACTTTTTCGCAGTAAAGAGAAAATTATATCTATCTATCTATCTATTATATTTTTATTTTCTGAACAAAATTCAGCATTGTTTCAAAATTTCCAATTAAACATTGCTGAAAATTTCGCTGCAGCTGTGAACACCGCCAAAGATTTCATATAGAGGTTAATGAGACGAAACTGGTCACACACGTCAAGATCTGAAGATTCAAAAACATTTTTTTATTTGATGTATGTCGAAAGGCCATCTTTTCCCCTCACTTTTGTTAACGATGTGGGAAAGAAAAATGATTTACATCTAGGATAATTTTTATTCATCCCAAGCATGGCAATAAAGTCACTAAGACGCAATGTGGCAGAGTGAGAGAAAAAAGAAAACATTATTAAAAAGAGAGAATAACTTTTTGTTTACAGAAAGGTTTACCCTGTATATGGCTACAGGGACTACTCGGGGTACAGGGTTACAGTTTATGTGGATAGGAGGGGAAGATAATGTTTAACCCTAGACATGAACAGGTTAAGATTGTAGTAATGGGGGAAACATCCTCTTGGGAGTCGGTTGCAAAGGGCAGTGATTCGCCGGAACAAGTTGTTCGAGTGGAATTGTCCATGGAAGTAGTTATAGAGCAGTTAAAGGCTTATCATATCCCGTCTGTAAGTGAGGAATTGCAGGGTGAAAAATTATTTGTTCCACACAAAGTCGCGGAGACGCTTTTGAACTCTTTCGAGACTGGAAAGTGACAACTGGGCAGCTCTTGACCAAATATGACAGCAGTAATCCATTTTTTGGCGTCATATGGCTCTTGTAAAGGTAGAGGATAGCACGAGAAGTCCGGTGCTTACTGGAGCAGTTCAGAGAACCGACACATTTTTTCTGCACCTTTAGCAATGGATCGTATGTACCAGTTCCACTTGAGGTCTGATGCGAGATTAAAGCTTAACAGTTTCTGAAGACAAGAGGCCCCCTGAAGGAACATTTATTCATTGTGATTGGTGGTACTTCGTAATCCAACTGGCAATGATGGAATGTAAATATTTTTCGAGGCATTAAATGTAACCAGCCAGATTTTCCACCACTGAGATGTTAGAGCAAGATCGGGCAAGAGATCAACTGTCAATCTCTCATCACGAGTTTTGGAGATGCACCCATATATTGTCATATCATCAGCATATTCGCAAATAATCTAAGTGTACTCTTAGAGAGATCATTTATCTAAAGTAAAGAGGTTGATACGAGAAGTGACTTATGAGGGACGCCTACGTATATTGCTAGGCTCCCGGAAGACTGGCTGGTAACAACTACCTACATGGACCTATCCGTTAGGAAGGACTTTATTACTAAATGAGGTTGTTGTATAGACGTAAAGAGGGGGAAAACTTGGTCACCACATTTTCCCGATATAATTTCAACTGAGCATTTATGGGACATTGTGTAGATGCCTCTTCCTGTGCAAGATTCTGTAGCTACAAATAACTGGGAGATGTGGCCAGCTATAGAGTCAACATGGGTTAACATCTTTTCAGAGATCTTCTAACTACTCGTGGAATCGATGTCACATTGAGTTGCTGCACCTCGTCAGACTAGAAGGTGTGATATACCATACCAGGCACCTATTTCATGACTTTTGGTTATTATTATTGTTGTGGCTTTATTAGGGCCAGAAATAGACACAAAAAGAGGAATTGAGTTAAACAAATATATTACAGAAACAGTAATACAAACATATACAAACGAGAGTGTTACAGCAAGAATGTTCTGTCCGACTGTCAGAGCAGACTGCTGGAAACTTCCCTCCCAAAAGGCAGTACCTGCTCCTATTTATAGCTGGGAGAGTCCATGCGTACGTAAGGTAAATTACCATAACAATTATTGATTTGTTTTTACGGTTTATCAACCTTTTGCAAGTTATTTGAAGCCAAAAAATATATTAAGATTTTAACAATTTTTTGTGATAATAATGATTTTTACTGATACAAGTTCTGCTATTTAACGCATATCTGGGCGACAGTAGGAGTGTTATACCTTTCTCAAGTGAATATAAGGAACCCGGCTGGAATTGGAAGTTGAAAGGTTACGGTATTTCTGGACGAATTTTGGAACTGATTCTGTCTTATTAAAATTATTTATTAGGAAATTAAAGTTAACTTGAATGGCCACTCTTCTAGATCATTTTGCATTAATGAAGGTCTTTCCCCAAAGTTGTATTCTTGGACCTTACGTTTTTTCTAATTTTCATAAGTGTTGTAGTAAACCTTCCTACAGTAGAATGAACTCTTTCTCCTCTCATAAATACTAACTGCGGGACTTCCTAGCAGGGCATCGTAGGGTAGCGAAGACGCAGTGTAACCTGACACTTCTTACTGCTTATTACTAACACTCTTGCTTTGCATATATCTGTTATTTCAATTACACTTGTTCTACCTACATTCGTCTTCCGTGTCTTTCTTTCTGGCCTCTAAACAGATCACAACAATAACGGACCTTCCTTATGTTATCAGTTCTCGACTCAGTATCTATGCTAATGACACAACTATTTATCTTGTCTTAATAGTAAGTATGATCTTTTGATAAGGTCAAATTGGCAGCTGATCTAAAAAATAACATAAATAATGTTGTTAAATGGTTAAAGTGTGGCTTCTTAATTTTAACGCCTCAAAAACGAAACTTCTCTCTTTTAATCATCTGAGAGAATCCTTATTACCTTTCATCAGTATGGCTGATGTTAACTTCCAGGAGAGTGACTCATTGCACCTTCCCGGATTAACACTTTCTGCTGACACGAAGTGGAAAGAGTAGATTGAATCAATTGCTAAGTCTGCAGCTAAGAAAGTTGCTTCACTATGACACTCTAGACAATTTTTTCTCGCCAGAATCTATCTTATATATTTATAAATCCACCATGCATCCTCGCTTTGAATATTACTGCCACATCTGGTCTGGGGCTCCTACTATATATTTAGTGATTCTTGATAAAATCCAAAGAAGAATATCGGCTTCAGTCCCTTTCCAACTACCGTAACTTAGCTTCACTGTGTCTTTTCTATAAATACTTTCCTGGTAACTATTCTTATGAACTTACTGTATGGTACCTAGACCATATAAATTTAAGCGCAGTACTAGATTGGCGGAAAGGTCTTATCCATTTACAATTGAAATGGCTAGATGTAACTGTAAGTTCTATGCTAACAGTTTCTTCTGTCGCACATCTCACTTGTGGAACACTCTTCCGGCTTCTTGCTTTCCAATCAATCTGACTTCTCTCTTGTTTACTAAATATTTTGAGCCTTGTGTGAAAAGAACATTTTTATTTTGTCTTCAAAGAACCTGAAAAAAACATTTTGATTTCCATTCTTTAATGGACTGTTTTAACGTCAGCCTCACCAGGAGAGAGCGCTTTGGTTACGCCGTTCTGTCAATCAAACGTTGGTTTGACGACATTGCCAAACAGCTCACTGTTACAAGAAGTCAATTAATGTTACATTATCTGTCCTTTTTGTTAACCAGCCAGGCTGCCTCGGTGATACGTCATTAGTTTTAAGTTAGCTGTGACTGTCGATCTTGGTTTAGCAAAGGCCAACGGCGTAATGTTCAAGAGTTCGGAAGTTCGGACGTCATTGGAACATCTTTATATGTGTTTCACTCTCAAATTATTAATACTTGTAATAAGTCATTCCATGTGGTAAACGATATTAGGCCATGTTTGTCTTCATTTTTTAACGATCTATTCATTATTAAGGTACCTGTTTTAGGGTTTGTTTCTTTGTTTTTGTTCTTGTTGTAGTTGAGATATCTACCAATCTGTAGTGAGCTATTTTTTATCCGCTCTTAGCTGGACTGTTGCGTAAGGATAAAATGAGTAAACTCCCTTGTCATTTACCCTTACCCAAAAGGCAGCAGTAGAGTTTTCCAAGGGCATTAGTGCAAATTGGACGAAATTTGAACCCGATTCGAGGATTGAATTTTTCGTATTCGTTACGCCACCCAACAATTTTTTTCATTTTTTAAAGTGAGATTCACCCTGTACAAGCCCCAAGA